GGGGGGGTGGCCCGCGTAGGTTTGAGCGGCAGGAAGATGACCTTGCACCGCAGGGACAGTGGTCTGAGGAGGGTGGGGCTGAAGCCTGTGAGTTCGGGAAAACCATTCTAGATAAGGCAGGATTTCTCAGCGGCAAAGTCCCCAGGCCCTTGTTCATCATCCTATTACAAGAACTCATTTTCTTTCCAACCTAAATCCTTCTACCCCCTCTTCTCTATACCTTTGTAAATACCTGCAGAACACTCAGTACCTGATTTCTTCTGGTAAAGGCAATCCTTTACTATTCCACCTGGTTTCCTCTGAGTTTACAAATTCCCACCTCCCTACCGTTTTTTTTTTTTCAGACCCTGGTTTCAAACCTTGTAATCTTGTTTTTACTTCTTTTCTTTTTCTTCTTCTTTTTTTTTTTAGATGAACCACATTTTTCTCAACCTATAGAGCCCAATTAAGTGATAGTTTTTGTCAAACATGCCCTGTGTTTGAGTGTTGAAAAAGGAGCCATTCCTATAATAGCCTACTTTGAAAAGCAGTTTTTTTTTAATTTATAAAACAATCCATACCTAATAAAATATTCAAGCATGTCAGGAGCGTATAAAGTAAAAGGCAACTTCCTTCCTTACCATCTGTCAATCCCAGTCCAGAAAAGTAACTAACAGCTTGGTTCATGACATTTATGATTTTTTTATATTTATATATAACTGTGTATATGTTTATGTAGTTTGGTTTTTTTTTTTTTAAGATTTTATTCATTTATTTGATGGCATGAGCAGGGAGAGGGGCAGAGAGAGAGGGAGAAGCAGACTCCCCGCTGAGCAGGGAGCCTGACCTGGGGCTCCATCCCAAGATCCTGAGATCACAAGCCAAGCCAAAGAGCCAGCCGAAGGCCGATGCTCAATCAACTGAGCCACCCAGGGGCCCCTGGGGTTTTATTTTTATGCAAAAAAATGGACAAATATGTACATACAATTTTAGGCTTCTAGGCACTGTACCTTTATCTTATACATTGTGGACAGTTTTCCATGTTAGAATATATATATGTATATGTATATACATGTAGAATATAGAATATATATATATATATATATATCAAATACCTCATTTATTCTATTTCTCTACCAGTCCTCTTTCCCTTCCCTCCTGGATTACTGCATTGGCATTCTTACTTTTCTCCCTCCTGTTACCCTTGCCTACCTATAGACTCTTCCACACAGCAGCCAGAGTGATTCCTTTAAAACATCAAGCAAAAGGTCAAAGTCTGACACCAGGCTACATACAAGGCCCATGAGGTCCCACCTCTCCTTTCTGGGTGACCCTTCCCTTCCAGCCACACTCCAGGCACACTCCCAGCCTTCTTAGGGTCTTTGCTCTAGTTAGTCCCCCTGCCTGTGCCTGGAAAGTTCTTTCCCCAAAGATTCATGGCTGACCACCCTATTTAAAACAGCAACTGGATTTCCCTTCCACTCTTTTCCCCTCCATAGCACTTCCACTTCTAACACCGTGTTTAATTTATGTTTACTTATTATCTTTATGGTTTATCACCTGTTTCCCACCTCTAGAATCTGGGCTGGCTTTGTGGATGTGGAACCTGTGCTTAGGTTCCATGGGGCCCTGCACTTAGGAGGCCCCCGTCCTTGATTTAATGTTCCACCGTCACCATCTTAAACTTTTAGTAATTTTTTAACAAGGAAGAGCCACATTTTCAATTTGCGCTGGGTCTCAAAAATTATATAGCTGGCCTTGTCTTGCATATAAACTTCATGAGGACAAGGATATTTGTCCTGAACTCTGATGAAGTCCAACTTCCTGGAACAGGATCCTATTTATAGTAGGTGCGCATAGTAGGTGCTCAGGAAATAGAAGTATTCTGCTTTCTCTTAGTAGTTTCACATTCTGAAGTTGACTTCCATCTATTTTCCTAGTCCCTATGGATTAAAAAACATGGGGCAGTGAGCAACCTTATATATAAAACTTGGTACCCTTGAGTGGTTTGGCTTAAATACCTTTGAAAGAATACATTGTGCCTGGTAGTTCTTTTTTACTTCTGATGACATTGAGTTTATTGAGACTTTGCATGTTTTCATTGGGAACAGCTGTTTTTTAAAAAGCAAGGTGCTGGGGCGCCTGGGTGGTTTAGTCGTTAAGCGTCTGCCTTCGGCTCGGGTCATGATCCCAGGGTCCTGAGATTGAGCCCCGCATCGGGCTCCCTGCTCCGCAGGAAACCTGCTTCTCCCTCTCCTACTCCCCCTGCTTGTGCTCCGTCTCTCACTGTGTCTCTCTCTGTCAAATAAATAAATAAAATCTTTAAAATAAATAAATAAATAAAAAGCAAGGTGCTTGCAGGCTCCAGACCTCTGTCTCATCAGATGAGAGTTACTACCACACAGCAAAGCCACTAAGCCAAATGTGGGTGGCCTTGACTACACATTGGTATCACCTGGGAGCTTTAGAGATGCTCATGCCTGGGCCCAGCCCCAGATATTTTCACGTAACTAGGC